ATGAAAGAAAATGAGAATGAAAAATTCTTGATCTATATTCTGGACTTCCTTTGGGATGGATTAAATGCTGGAAGAATTAAAAAGTTGAATTAATAAAGATTTGGGTAAGTATTTATTATAGATCTCGATGATTCTTTCAATACGTTGTTAAAAAGTCATTGGAAATTAAACGAATTCTTGTTTTATCGATTGATTTATCAATTAATGCCAATTCTATTATTGAATCTATTAGACGAGAAATTTTTGGTTAATAATTTTTTAATGGATCAATTTTCGCGAAGACAGAGAGATCAGTGTCTGATTGAATGAATAAAATTTTCACTATGAATATTAATATATAAAGAAACGGAGCAGATTTTCAAAAAAAGAAGAGAAAAACATTGAAAAAAAGTTGGATCGATTAAAATACGCGAGTGGAGCAACCAAACGTTAGATCAGCCCGAATAATCCCGCTTATCCTTCATTCGTTCGCCTGACCTCCTCTCATCACTCTTCGTCGTCGAATCAAAGAATCTTAATGGTAATGCCGTCGATTGGCCCATTTACCAGCTTCGCCTTACTCGAATTTCGCCACGCGAAACGACATCCCTGCTTCCCCCCTTCCCTTTCCCGCGTTTCCTTCCTCCCCTTTTTCTTTTTGCCGCTTTCTCGCCAACCCGCGTCCGTGAAAAGAGAAGTTCACTGATTGGAAGGCTAATCACGCGCTACTCTCCATTACATTAATTAAAACTTAACTCTCAACTTCGCCCGGTTACCAAGGCTATCTTGTCCGCCACCAGCTTTCTCTCCGCCGTCTTCGACGACGACGACGACGACGACGACGCTCGTCTTGTCTCCACTCCGTGTCAGCGGTTCTCAACTTTCCTCGGCCATTTGCATATCAATGGAAGAGTATGAAAAGAGTGGCAGAGGTGTGCAAGGTTATAAGGTCGCTCGATTGCCAATTCGTCGGGATCAATGGGTTTAGCTTCGTTTTTGAATTTTAGGGATTGTATGAATTTGAAATTAAGGATTAAAGGATTTGGAACTGTTACGGAGAATTGTGGATTCTTGGTAGTTTAGAATATTTTCGAATATCTTAATTTTTCCTCGATTTTTTAATTTTCTAATTTTTTCTCCTCTCTATCTTGCAACAAGATTGTACATAAATTCTTTATTTCTTCTTCATCTTGGAATCTTTCAATTTTACAAAAATCGTATTATTTATCATTCAAATTTTTCTCGATTAATAATTATTATATGAAATTATTTTATAATTAAAAACAGTTAAATTTTATATTATAAATGATATGAAATAAAAGTTTCATCACGACGACATTCAATCCTGCATTAAAGACACATTTCCTCAACGCCATTAAATACAGGGCTGTGTATCGATCCATATTTCTACTTGAAGACACGTCTGACCCTAAACGTGCTTTTACTACTACTCCCATCTTTACCAAGATAGCAATATAAATGTCCTTATATTGATTCCAAATTGATACTTATTTAATATGTATTTAAATTAGTACGATATTTTATGATTTTATTCGACTATTATAAAGTTAAGTTGAAAGTTCTTAATGGAAAAGAAACCTCTCGTAATGGATGAAATATTGCTACGAATGAAGTTATGTAAAATTAGCAACGATAAAACTCTTCGAGCGATTCAAGAAAGTCGTTTAACAGTTTCTACGCATTAATCTCTCAAAAATTTCACAGAATAAACTTTCTCTATTTTTTACTTTATTTTCAACTGTTATTATTTCTCTTACGAAAAATATTACCAGCAAGTAAAGTTGTCATAAATTTTTTTTTGCATACACACTTTATATTATACAAAAGAATTTATCCGTAACTCGTGACTTCGCTCGTAATATTTTCACACCATCGTATTAATTCTCAAATTGATCTTTAATAATTATTGATTTTCAATAATTAATCTGAAATTCATTCGATTTGTCGACACGGGAAGAACTTGGACAAAGAGAAAGAATTAGCAAAAATCGAGCTCGAGAATCGAACCGCTGTGATTCTCGCTTCCTGTGCATCCCACTGACCTTCCATCACGCTTCCGCTAGCTATATTGTACACTCTCGCTTGAAAATGCCGAAAATTAAGCGTTTTCGACATACAAAATTCTTCGACCATGATTTTCTCGACAATTTTCAAAACTCTAACTAACTTTAATAAACTTTTCCAAACTCAACGATCATTCTCTACTTAATCGTACTTAGAAAATAAGAAAAAAAATATCTTTCGAAACGAAATATAAATAATAGATAATAAATAATAATAATAATAATAATAATAGATAATAGATAAATAAAAAGATGCCTCACTCTTCCTCGATCGAGGAAATCGAGGAAATCAGAAAAAGAATCAAATGCTCACACGACAGAATCGAGTATCCGAATTTTCAGAGACACCGCCATTTTGTTGAGTCCCGCCGCTACGATCATGGTTGATCCTTGGCCGAGGAGCGCCATCTATTCCGAGCAACGGATATCGTCCAAACAGAATTTTTCGCGAAGTGCACGAAATGATCTCGTCCTAACCTCTTCCCACCATTCTTCTTCCGCGGGGATATTAAGGTCACTCGGGAATATAAGAATCTCAGGGGAAGGGGGGGGGAGAGAGAGAAAGGAAGATAGAACGAAACGGAATAAAGGATCCTCATCTCGGTCGCGTCTTATCGTTGATTGTACTACTTTGTCGGAGTTTCATCCCGCGCTCCAAAGGTTTCACGCGGTAAAAGAGCAAATAAATGAAATTCTGATAAACAATTTCTGAATATTCCGCCGGCTTCTTTTTTCTTCTACCCTGCCGCGACCTCTCGCGTTCCCCGCTAATTTGAAATTTAAACGGCGAACAGAATTAGCCGGGGAATATTTAATATTAACTTCGAGAATAATGAGGAAATTTTCTTTTTTTCTTTCTTTTTCTTTTCCTTTTTCTTTTTAAGAATAAAGGAGAATCGTGAATCTTTAACGCGTTAATTCCGAAAGGAGATTAATCGAGAGATTATCGCACGAGTAATAAATTAAACGATCGTTTATTAATTTTTCGATAATTTTTTAATTATCGTATATAAACGAATGATTAAAAAAGTAATTTCATAAAGGTTTTCATTTTGACTAATCATCGTTCGTGATCAATCGTTCTTTGTGTAAAAAATCCTCAAAAAATTTGTATCTACATATTCTTAAAAAATTCCTAGGAATTCCACCATATCTACTCGATAGAAAGATTAAATATCAAATGTTTCTTGACAAATATTCGTTATTTCGTCCGCAGGGAAAAATTCTTAGAAACTTGTTGAAACGGATTCTTAGAAAATTTCTAGGAACTCTGCTCGCTGGATTAATCAGGATTTCCGTGCAATGTAAAAACTCCCCAGAAAAAAAAAGTCCTAGAACTTGCCACACGATTTCTTATAAAATATCTAGAAATTCTGCGATATCTAACCGGGTCGTCCTCTAATGTCTGGGGCGAAAATTCTCGTCGCCTGACGACGGGCGAAAAAGAAATTTTCCAAGCGAGGTTTCACCGCCGGTTGCAGCTTATCGGTGATCGTCGCGGCTTAAAGGCGACGTTGAACGAAGCGCGCCTTAAGCTTCGCCGCGATACCACACCGAGGACCACCACCAGAAAACGACGACGCGGCGTAGATACTGTCTGCCCGTACGACAGCGAGCGCTCTCTCTTCGAAATTGGATCCTGGCCGTGGCGTAAGTTGCGGATAACGAGTGCCTGGATTTTCGGACGAGTTGCAGTGTGAAATCGATAGTCGAACGCAAACGTGGAAACCGCTTTTCCATATTTCGTAACCAGATATATTTTTCAAAATGAAATTTTCGACGAGCCTGTGTCTCTCATGAAATAATTCCCATGTTTCGAAATTTCCGTTACGAGTGAAAAGTTAGAACTAAACAACGTGCAACGAAGCAACACGTGTTTTGTACTGGAGAAAATTTCAAAAGTGTTTCTAGAAATAATTTTCATCGGATAATTCTTGATGGAAATCAATAATTCATATCGATATTTCGATTATTTTTGGGTTTAGGTAACTTCAAAACCAATTTTACAATATTTTCAAAAATCAGATTCGTTCAGATTCAGAAGGATTCTTTTCAATCGTCCTCTCATCGATCGATTCGAAGTAAAATCAAAATTCAAAAAAGATCAAATCTTCCTCTCCGACAAACAAAATTCTTTTGTTCAAATGTATCGAAATTCTACCGTTCCCGATTCTTTTTTCTTCAACAAAAATCAAACCAATCAATTCCCAAGCAAGCAATAATATAACACAAGGCAATATAACCCCAATCCATGATAAATCCACGGACAACAAGACATTAATCAAGTCCAATTGAAAGATCAACTCCTAACCTTAGAAACCGAGACGCGACCCAATTTTCAAAACCAAAATATATACTCATCCAAATTAAATCAAACTATACCCCGATAATTTAAAAAAATTAAACACATAAACAAACCAAACCTCCAACCTCTTATGAAATATCTCGAATTCCCCATGAATGTAGCATCATCACAATATCGCGATATATGCTCGTCCTTGGACTCCCCGATACACTTTCAACCCTTCCACCCCGGAATTTAGAAAATATATATATATATATATATATATATACACAGGGTTGTCGGTTGGCACGTCGCCTCGAGCGCTTTGTCGGGTAGGGAGCGGCCAACGAAGGGTGCAGTTAATTAATAAAAGCTCGGGACGGGGGTGGGTCAGATGGTGGCGATGGTGGTGGATAAAGGGACGCGAGATACGATCCCGTGCATCGCTTCATATCGACGGCCGCCTGTCGATATGCTATGTAGTAGACGCGTGTGACGATGTGCGAGCTGATAGACGCGCATACGCACACATACACGCGCGCGCGCGCGCGCGTATAATCACGATAGGCTGTATATCTCGCTTGCAATTCAAACGAGAGAGAGAGAGAGAGAGAGAGAGAAAGAGAGAGAGAGGGAGGGAGGGAGAGACTCACGTGTCCTGAATGAGGAACTTGTCGTCTTTGGTCTCGATGCAGCGGCCCTTGTTGGTCATCATGGACCCGTTCACCGTCACCAACCCCTGATTCCCCGATTGAAACCAGTGGCCGTTCCACTGCGCCGGGAACTCGCAACCTGCAACACACACACACAAGAAGGCGCATATCACAAGGTGTTGGCAGTTTTACATTTTTTTCATATCGGGCGGGGCTCGATAAATAAAAGCGCGGATATATAATCCGGCCAAGGGAATATTCAAAACGGTGGGGGTGAGGAGGTGGGGGGAGGGGAGGTGAGAGAGGGTGGCCCGCGGATATAAACCGGTGCTATCGGCTCTTTTGTGAGGGGGGAACGATTTTTTTGGAGGATGGGTTAGGATGGATGGGTCTTGTTGTTGCCTCTTTTGTTTGTTTCGTTCTTTCTTTTTATTTTTTTATTTTTTTATTTTTTTTCCCCTCTCTCCAAGCGAACAGGTTGGAATGAAGAGTTGTTTAATAGAATTGGATTTTTAACGTCGAACGCTTTCTTGGAACAGTGGAGTGGAAATAAAACGAGAGAAAAAAGAGAAAGAAAATTTTCAACGCTTTCAATAGGCATTGTATTCCAAATTCCCTTATTGTTTCGAATCGTCGTAAAAAAAAAAAAAAAAGGAAAAAAAACGGTATAAAACTTGACCTGTTTCGAATTTTCAAACGAGTGATAAATTTCTCGTGGAAAAGAAAGTGGAAGGGGGGGGGAGGGGGATCATATCCTACAAAGCGGATCATCGAAAAAAATTGGAAAAACTCGGGAAAGGAAGAAATTTCAATCGACGATATTAGCGTTTCCATCCATCCTCCATCCACCTCCTCGAAACCTCCTCGAATCGTCTTAATGCACGCTTAATGCATCCCCCGTGTCCCATCCTCGAAAACCCTTGCACATGGTTGCACGCGCAGATTCCCATCAACGGCGCGATAACCCGCGAAGTAATCGCGGATGGGGGGAAAAGGTGCGGACAGAGGTGGACGAGGGAAGGGGGCAGAGGGACGAAAAGGGACACACACACACACACACAAGTGGAAAGGTAGAGGAATTACCCAGTCTCGAGGAATTTTACCCAGCGAGAAGATCCCCATCCCCGAACGTTTTGGACCTCGTTGGAAACACTCGGACTTATTAAATGCAAAACGCTACTATCCCCTCCTCTCCCTCCCCTCCCACTACAGCAAAACAATGCTTAATCGCCACAATGCTCTCCGCCTTGTAATCCCTCCCCTACAAGAGGGGAAACTAAACGGTTGGAAGTTGGAATTGACAGGGCTCCCTTGAATAATCCGATCCGATCCTTCCTCGAGAAGAGGGGGAGGGGGGAGGATCTTTTTCCATTTTTTTTTCCCAGCGAGCGAAAAGAAAAAAAAAAAAAAAAAAAAAGAAGAAGAAAAAGAAATCTTCCTCCCCTCCCTCCCTCCCCGTTCGAAATATCCCGACAATCCTGGAGGGTTATCCTCTCGTTTCGCCCCATAAGACAGGGAGCTGGAACAGGGGGGAGGGGGGGGGGAGAGGAAGGGGATAGGTAGAGACACCTCGAAGGCCGAGCTGAGAAAATTCGCTGCAATTGTTTAAAAGTGGCGAGTGAAAACCCTCGCAGGATGATAAGATTCCCGCCTCTCCCCCCTCCCTCTGTGGCGAACATCCGCCGCGCTTTCGACCGCCATTATCGTCATTGCTTTATAACGTCGCCGCTCTTTTTCGCCCCGTGTATTTTCTTGAGAGCATCTCGACGACCCCGCGTTACCGCCACCCCTTTCCCATCCGATATCCACGGCTTTTCGTACTTTTCTCTCTCTCTCTCTCTCTCTCTCTTTTTCTTTTTCTTTTTCTTCTCCTTCGAGTCGTTTTTCGGGATTCGAAAAGGGGGCGGGGGGAGAGATTGAGCGAATGGCAAGTTTTTTCCTGGTGGAGAGGATGATTGTTCCCAACGATTCGATGGTTTTATGGAATTTTTTTTGGAGGGGGAGGGGGATTTGATTGGAAGATGCTTTTTTGAATAATTGGATAATTGTGTCTCCGATTTTAATAGAGCGTTGTAGATAATTATATTAGGTTGCGTTGAAAATTTATTAATAAGAATTTTTCTTCGAAAGAGTTTAGGTTAGTAGATCAGGATAGAAAATTAAGGAAATTCGAAATGAATTGTATAGATGATTGATTAATGATCAAGGAATAATGGGATTAAATTTAGAATAAATTGATTGGTGTCGAACAAAAACTTTATTCGATAAACTTTTTAATGAACGATATTCTTAATATTATTTCTGATTGAACTAATCCCCTATGTATATATAAAGCTTTTTGTTTAGTTTGATTATTATGAACAAATCTTTTTAATAATAATAACGTGTTATTATATACATGTATTCAACAGATTTCTCCGTGATAATGTTTTTTTACTCATTAGAGAAAATGAATCGAGTGGAACAAATTTCGAAATCGACATCGACGACAATGTTTTAAAAGGTATTACTGAAAATAATTCATGGCAAACGGGAAGAGAAAGAGAAATAGCGTTTCGAATGAAAGTAACCCACGCCACCATTATTCATCGCTTGACTCGAATAGGAGGAGTAAAGAAAGTGAACAAATGGGTTCCGCGTGAGCTAAGCGATATATGGGAAGCTTAGATAAATGGAGATAACCACCTCGTTACTACAGGAAAAAAAAAAAAAAAAAAAACAAACTTGATCTTCACCAGAGTTAAAGTTGAAAGATACGTATGTAAAGGTTCAATATTTGATCGATACAACGTCGTTTATGGTGAGTTCAAAGGTATGTAAAATATATACTTAAGATAGTATGATATAGGCAAAAAAATATATATATATATATATATTTTAATTCTATATTTTTTCCCCTTTCTCTCTTTCTTTTCTTCTGCGCATTATACGTGTGAGAGTACGTGAGAGTATATATTTGCCACGAGAACATCTGGTATATAATTTAATTTCATTTACATTTGTCACGCATATTTCGTATATTTTTTTTTATTGTACCTTTTTTATACTTGGTATTACATAATTTAATTTATTTTGCATTTATTATACATCCCCGTTACTTTTTATTAACGGTATAATTTTTCGAAATGAGTATTTCATAAATTCCATTTAGCTTCCCGTTGCTATATCGTTGCGAATTATTTCTTCTTCCTATTACGAAATAATGGGATTTAAAAATCTGTTGTTTACAAGAACGTTCAATATTAATTTTTCCTATTAGAATAGAGAAAAAAAAAAAAAATTCTACGACATTTCTCGTAACATTTTTCTTAATTGTAAAAATAATGAAATAAATCTGTAAGAGAGTCATCGAAATTCCACAAAGCTTGGCATCCCATGAGAACAAAATAGTAATCAAAATCCAATAAACAGTCGCTAAGCCAGTACAAACCAATCGATCCATCAAGCTATCAAAGTCCCTCGAAACGCGAGACAATTCTCTACCCTCGATCCTAATCCCATTCAACTTCATCCCACGAATAAAAATTCTTTTTCATCCACAAAAAAAAAAAGAGAGGAGAAGAAGAAAAAGAAAACGATAGTCTCACGGGATGACGGAATCCAAATCACTTTTACACAATACTGAACTATGATCGTGCAATAATTGACAGAAATTAGATCGAAATGCAAGGTTATGTGCTGCTCTAGAGCCATTGATCTGATACAATTACCAATTAATTACCGTTTCATCGATCCTTTCGACGGAAATCAGCTTAAAACACCGCGAGATAAAGATAATTTTGACGATTTTAACAAATTTTAAGGCTAATCCATAACAAATTCAAATGAGTGGATAATTATTTATCGCACAAATAAAAACGATTTTCTTCAATATCTATCCCTGTTGAAAAATTTTTCCATTCAATTATTCTTTCCAAACGAAGAGCAAAAAACACACGTTGAACACAGAAGGAATTAAAGGCTATTTAAAAGGAGGCGAATCTTCATTTCGAAAGGAATTACGATATATTGCATCGCGTGTCGAAAATCAGCAAATTGCTCGTAACGGTGTTCCAAGAACCAAGTTCCTGTCCTAACTTAAATAACCGAGAAACGAAACGTTGAATCGCATTATCCATACGAGCATTTACGAGTCCTCTGGGTCCGGCAATTAGAAGACACTCGGTACATCTGTTCAAGAGGGGGAGCAACGACTTTAAAAACTACGAAACACGCACTGCCCCCACACGCGTATCTTCGTGATCCTCGCAATAAAGAACGCACCGCGGGGAGATTCGATTACGAAGAAATAAGAGGGGATTAAATAAGAGGCTCTATTAGGGGGCGACTTCCCGGAAATAGAACGATGGAAGAAAAAGGATATCGAGGTTTCGCTCGAGTCGCGCGATATCCTCTTCTCCCTGCGCCTGTGCTAATCGCTCTCGAGAGAAATTATCGAAAGAATCGATCGATCAATCAATTTCGTCGAACCGAAATTTGTAAAAATTCTAATTGCCGAAGCTTGCCGAATAGATTCGGTGGAGGATCTAACTAGCGCCATCTAGACCCTATTAAAAACCCGTTATTACCCGAAATTTACCTTACCGATCGAGGCGAGACCTTCGATTCCCTCCCTCTCTCTCTCTCTCTCTCTCTTTCTCTTCCCAAATTCGGCCGGTTGGATATTAAAACGCGTGGAGTCTGGCGCGGTCCGTAAATCTTTGGGGGAGAGGAGCGAGCAGGAAGGGAAGCATTTGGCAGAGTCGCCAGACGAATCAATCGCTCGTCAGGGGGCTTAAAAAATAGATTATCGAAGGTGGTGCCGGGTGGAAATTACCAGAAACCCCTCGAAACCCGGGCAAACCGATTGGAAACCCTTGCGGACCATGTGGCAACGATTTCCAGATTAGGGCTCCATTTACGCCAGGTTAATCCAATTTTTATGTACCCGTGGAGCTCTCCGCGAGCGTCTCCGCGGAGCTCCGTGGATGATCGGGAATTTCAGGGTAGGGGGGAGGGAGGGAGTAACTTGATTAAAATAATCTATCACTCGGCCAGTGACAAGAGTGATTGGCTATTCGAGTTAAATATGATGGAACGGCCACTTTTCCACGTACACCGACACGTATACAATCCACGCCTCCACCCTTTCCCCCCATC